GGAAAATAGTTTTATTTCCAATTGGTTTGAAATTTTACACTCCATTCAATCATTAATAAAAATATTTCTTATTTATCATCAATGTATTTCAACCCATCGTTGATCTGACCGATTGAATCATTCGAACTGTCACTCGACCTTGATTCGGGCCTGATTATGTTGAGACTAACCCTTTCAATCAAAAAACGTTTAACCCGAGCAGTTCAATAATTGACCCCTTTGCCTAGTCACCAGGTCACAGGTTGCACACCTAATTATGTGCAAACTTTTTGGAGGCCATAACTTTGCACTTTGATGTCCGATTGGAGTGATCTTTTTTTTTATTATTATTTTAAGTAACTTTTTATGATCTATGTGCCCTAAGGGCCCTAGGCATCTTGCATTGCTATTTTTCAAAAAAAAAGACCCAATTTGTAATTTTTAATATTTTTTATAAATAAAAGTGGTTTGACTCGTTTGACCTTGACGGTTCAACTGGTGACCTATGACTTGAAGGCAAAAGCAAGTCAGCCTTCGGGCCGGTTTTTAAAACATTGTTTATCATACTTATTATTATTTACTATGTCAAATATATGATGCTAGAAATGTTCATATTTTTTTTTAATTTCTATATTTTTTTGCATTCTACATATTTTTGAATTTTATTATTTAATTGTGACAACATGGATTGACCCATTTAATGATGAGAATAAACAAAAATGCCTTAAATATATGATTCAATAAAGGTGAATGCAAATTTAATACCTTAAATGTTGGAGTAATGACAAAAAAATATTATAGATAAATGACAAAAAAATCAAAGTTTTCATTATAAAATATCCAAAAGTGTAGCAGAAGTTTTTAGCTTGACAAGAATTTTCCTTGTTTGATGTTGGAGTAAGCATGATCTCATACTACAAAGTTTCTTTTTTTTTTACCAATAAAAAAGAAGGAAATGTGGTTTAGAAGGTCAAGCATGGATGTTTTGGATGCTAAAAGAATACTTTACTATTTAATGCACAACCATATTGTAATATCTTAGAGTATGGGGGTTTTGGAGAAATTAGAGGTGCAATCGAGTTGAGCTCTAATCGAATTTTTGGTTTTGAGTTTGACTATGTATAATTCGAGTTCGATTCTAATCAAATTTGAATCTCAGGGATGTCCGATTAGCTATTCAAACTCAAGCTTGACTAATAAAAAGTTTGGTTCATAAGTTTGCGAGTCTAACTCGATTAATATTAATTATATACATGTATTATAATATAAAGATATATATTATGAAAATAACATTATATTCTACATAATGTATGAGTATACTATATATTATAAAAATACAACATAAGTAAATATAAAATATATTCATTTTCAAGCTTTTTAGCGGAACTTGAACTCATTGAATATCAAATCGAGCTCAAATCGAACAAAAAAGAACTTGGACCTAATAGTACTTTAATTGAACCAAACAAAGGCTTGATAAAGTTTGGCTTGGCTCAATTACACCCCATAAAAAGAAATTATACTCGGGTGGCAAATGGTTGGGTTGGGTAAGGGTTGAATATCAATCCACCCATATTGACCCACAAACCCACCATGGCCCATCATTAATGCTCCTAAAAGGCTCCTAACCCACCTTTATTGACCTACTTGACCCATCCATATTGATCTTTACCCACCATCACCCATACTAACCCCACACACCTACCCTCACCTATACATACAAAAACAGGTCAGGTCACTCATATACCCAAAAAAACTTTGAGAGAACAAACTCTCTCGAGTCTACCACGTGTTATAAACGGGTCAGGTTCCATATACCCGAAAATAACATTTTTCGAGAGAATAAACTCTTAAGGCCACTACGTGACAAAAACGAGATGACAAACTTGTATACCTGAAAATAACATTTTTGAGAGAATAATCTCCATTAAGTCTACCACATGGCAAAAATGAGTCGAGTCAACCTGTATACCCGAAAATGAAAAAAAAGTATGCATAAAAATACCAAAAACTTTGTAGAAAATGCGAAAAATACTAGAAAAACCAAAAAAAAATTGCAAAAATATAGAAAAAATTGCAAAAAAATTGTAGAAAATACCAGAAATGCATGAAAACACTAAAAATTACAGAAATTATGTAGAAAACTTGTAGGTAATTCAGAAAAATAGAAAAATAACAAGAAAATACTAGAAAATGCATGAAAACACCAGAAATGTCTAAATTGTGCAGAAAAATACCAAATAATATAAAAAATGCATAAAATAGCAAAAAATTTGCAAAAGTGCAAAAAAAGTATAACTTTTATAGAAAAAAATCAGAAAATTGAAAAAAAACAAAGAATTGTAGAAAATGCATGAAACACTAGAAAACATGAAAACATACCATAAAAACGTGGCAAAAAATGGTAAGAGGAAGGCTCAACCTTTACTCATAAACCTTTGACCTTAAAAGAGACATTCAAATTACTAAATCCAAGGATTAAAGTATCAGTATCGAGTATCGGGTATTATATCAAATAACATAGATACATGTACACATTGGAAAATGCATGGATATGGATAAAAAATATGGAAACGTATGTATACGCTAGGGAAATACATACAAATTTTATAAATGCATTAATAACACTAAATTTAATATCAAAATATCAAAATAATCATAAAATAGTATATAAATACATGGAAAATGTAAATTTTAATGATATATTGCAATTAGTATATTGGGATGCATAGTTATCGTATAATTTTATTTATAATAGATCAATCAAGAGTCCAAGACACTAAATGCATGCACCTATTATATTTTAATTATTATATCAATTATTGTTTTATTTTATAATTTTAAATTTTTAAAATTAACAAAAAATCAACTAAAATTAAAATATGGATTAAAAATTTATAAAAATATAATCTTAACTTAGAGTGTATCAATTTTGTTAAAATTTCTATGATACATATCATATACAAATTCATAGTTTTTAATTACTAAAATAATTATTTCATTATTAATATTTTTATTTCAATAAATTTTATGAAATAAAAATCATTTTTTGAAATAAATGTAGATTAGTGCATTTGATAGATTCAATTTAATATTATATTCTTCAATACTTTTGTTTATGATATTTTTATTTTTTGTAAATAATAAATATTTTGTTATTACTTATTAATGTAAATTAAAATATTAGTTAATAATTTATATAAATATATACAAATTTTAAGATATATATTATGTGTGAATTTATAAATTGTAAGTTTTAAAATAATTATTCTATTATTAATATTCTATTTGTATAAATTCCTTATTATTAAAAATCATGTTTTTATATAAATGTAGATTTGATAGATTATTTATTCTATTAGTTTATAAAATAATATTTTTTAATTTTTAGTTAGAGTTGTGAAATATAAACATTTGTTTTTTGTTTAAATGCATGTAAACACAAAAAGCTAATAAAATAATTTGTATATCACTTTTAATCACAAAATCGCATTTGGCTTGGTGGCTTAAAATTGAAGGAGAATATTAGCACGCTAGGTGGACTCGAGTTTGAGTTTAAGTCTCCTCAAACACATTTTTTATTGTGAGGCTTGGCAAAATCATCGACCCAACCCACCCTAACCCTTTTTTACTGACCCTAATGGGTTGCTCGACCCATATTGACCCACCAATAGAGTGGATGGGTTACAAGGTGGGTGGGTCAAATGGGTTGGAGTCAAGATTGTCAACCCTAATTATACACCGAAAAATAAATAAATAAAACTCCTGCAATCATCAACAATGTGGACAATATACTATGGTGGTTAAGAGTTCATGACCGTAAATATTAGTTTGATTTTGTATTAATCTCATTTAGTTTTGTTCCAACCTTCTCCAATTCTCCCCAATATACATATCATGCTTTAATTCATGGTCAGAGAGAACTATATACTTATATAGATGTTGTTTGTCATGTATTTTTAAAAAGATCTTTCAGCAGCCCAAATGGCCAAAAGACATATTGAGCTTTTGGAGTCTTGTAAGACAAAGACCATTTGGTAAACGACTTGGTTAAAGGGCTTTTAAAAATGTGTATAGAGGCTATATATCATGCAAAATGACCATAAATCTTCACTTGAAGCTTTCCGAAATTTGGTGTCTTTGATCTTTTTGGATCTTTTTGCACACACATTCTCATCTTCCCGGCTTTTGGTTACTAAATAGAAAAGACTGATTTGTGGTCTTTTAAATTTGCCAAATCCCATAATACTACATGAAAAAGACTTTCCAAACGCTGCCATGAGATCGGCTTCATCAGTGCAACACCGGTTCGAACAGTGTTCGAACATCCTTTACAGAACATCTCTATACTTATATACTTTATTTCATGGAGAGATATTCCCAATACAAGGTTATGATGGTTATTTGAACGGGCTTTACACAGACTGAATCCCATTTCCGCAGCCATAGTTAAAAACTGAGGGGTGGCATAGGTTAGACTTTGTGAATAGAGTATGATCATCCCGTTCGTTACCTTTTTTATGATAGGATGCCATTCAGCCGATGAGCATCTTTTTTGTGATATGCGAGTAGCAGACCCCGATTCCCAAGTAGAGTTCGGCTTCCGTCAGGGCAACCCGTTCGAGCATCCTTTACGCCCGATGCAACTATCCGAGGTTGCAAGAAGCTGTTGGGACGGTGTGAGCAAGGACATGCCCTGACCGAAGCCGATCTCAGTCATTTCATAACTTTGTGCCGACCGAAAACAATGTTTCCCGCTTTAGGGCTTTCCAGGCATCTTTAAACCTTTATCTGAATGTTACGAGGCCACGTGTCACGTGTTAGATCCGGAAGATCATTTGAGATGCGGTACAAAGTCTCGAGCTTCCGGCTTTAGATTTTGTTCAACTCAGAAGATCTCATGGCCTCGATGTGCTCCACGTAAGCCGTCCAGCATCCTACGTGGCTCTAAGCAAACACTACGGACCTCCATTGTTCCACGTCATCCACATGGAATGACCTACTAATATCTCCTCAAAGGCCGTGGATATGTTCCTCTTTGCCTTCGTTTCACTGTCTTCCGACCAGTCCAGATATTCTGCAACACTAAAATTAAAAGCTTTAAAGAAAGAAGGACGAGAAGAAGAAGAACAAAAGAAAACGAAAAATAAAACCCTAATTAAGCAATTTAAGACCCTCTTCGATCTGAGAATCATATGATATGAAACACTTCGGTGTTTTGCCGTTGTTTTAGTTCTGATCTTGTTGTTCTTTACGTTTTTTTTTTTTTTTTTTTTCTGCAGGATTAACCTCGACGTTGGCTGCTCTGTTTATGATCAGAGGAGCTTCTAAGGTATCTTGTTCAATCTAACCTTATATCATTGTTTTCCAGAAAAAAAAATGAATTATAGTTTTGCTTGAATGATGAATTAACTCTTTTCTATCCGATGTCTTCTTGTTCTGTTGTTAAAAAATTCTAAATCTATTACTCAGTTAATGGTTCTGTGAAGGTACCTGGTTTCCCTATATAACGTTTTAGATCGGCGTCCTTGCAATATTGGAGGTTCTACTTGCAAACCGTTTCTCTCTCTTTTGAGTAGATATATATGAGGGTTTGGATATATTAGTTTGCCTGATGCACTGCTCCGGTCATACAGGGTAAAGTAAGGTTTTAGGGAGTTAACACCGTTAGAGCTGTATTTGAGATGATTGGTATCGGATCTGTTTTGTGGATTGAAGCAGAGTTTCTCAACGTCTCAATAATGTGGGTCCCTCATAATTGCTCATTTTGAGTCTGGTAGATGGGGGGAGTTCCTGTGAACAATGTTAGTGCTGGAAACAGAGGGCTGGCGGAAGTGAATCACCATATACGGGATGAGCACAAGGAAGTTAGGAATGGAGTAGTGGGTGAAGGGCAGGGTCTTTTGGAGGAAGATGAGTTGATGATTAATGGGGTTTCTGTATATGTAAATGCTGGATGCGAAGGGGCAGGTCAGGCCCAACCTGCTCTGCAGAGACCGCAGCAACAGTCTCAAGGGCCAGTTGTTTGTTGGGAGAGGTTTCTTCCTTTTAGGCCACTGAAGATTCTTCTGGTGGAAAATGATGATTCAACACGCCATGTAGTCTGTGCTCTTCTTCAGAATTGCAGTTATGAGGGTTTGTGCCTTGCTTTTCATCTAATGAAGTAACTGCTACTTTTATTTGTTTTGTAACTTGAATTAGACATTTTTATTTGACATAAGATGATACATATCAGTATATGGGTGTTGAGATGGTTATTGTGTTCATACAATGATTTATGATTTCCTCATCTGAAACATTCCCTTTTATTAGATTAGAATCTTCTTTGATTTTGACACTCTTGGATGCTTCTGGTTATTGTGTTCATACAATGATTTATGCAGTGAACTTGATGCATGTACAACCTAGTGCTCATTGGTTTCTTCAGGATCACTTTGACTTTAAGTTTCTTGAATGCTTCTCTTTATTGTGTGCATATTTGTTTTTCAATAGCATATTTTTATTTGATCTCCCGACATTTAAAATCTTTCTTTTTTGATTGATAATAAAAATTTATTAAAGATTGAAGATGCATAAACTGGTAAGAGAGAAAATATTGAAGATGTACATGGGAGGTTTAAAAAGCTCAAACTAGTTCAAAAGGAGAAGGAAAAAGAAGGAATTTGCCTATGATCCTTTAATTCTCTCTTGGTGCTCCTAATATAAGAGCATACCACCCCCAATTGGTAGGGAGACAATTTTGCATGGGCTCTCTGAATGGATGAAGTGTCCATGTTGGACATGCTTCGGACTATGACAGTCCATGGATTTTTGAAGGACAACTCTATGTAAGATTTTTTCCTCCTTGCTTATTCAAGACAAATGAATAGCTACTGTACACAATAGAGTGTGAGAAGGGGAGAATGATGGAGAAAGGATTTGTGGAGTAAACAAAATGGAGAACAGCTCTGAAGGTAGAGGCTAAAGATTTTCTCTTTGAAGAAATGTGGATTAAAGGAAGACTTAGCTTGAAGATAAGGGAACAGAAGTTGGTTGCGGTGCTTGTGGAAGGAACTGAGATGATTGGACTGCCTTGCTACCTATAACAGTACAAGAAAGCAAGCATAAAGCAAAAAATAAGCAACAAAAACTGAACTTATGGAACTGCAAGTAAATATATCAGGCCTGGTTCACTGTATTACTACACACTTAAAACATAAGTGGGCTTTGGGTGTCAGCCATCCTATGAAAGCCCAAAACCAATGGTTTATTGTGAGAAATAAGCCCATCAAGTTTCATCCCAAGAGACTTTTGCTCTCAACCTCTTAGCCCATAATATTTATACACTACTCACAGGGAATGACCTATTTCTTAACTATGAAATGCAATTTCACACTCTCTGCTCAGATGGATCATGGATTAAAACCTTTAGCAAACTGTTTCATAAAATAAATTATTTATATGTATAAATAAATTTTGCAAAGTGATTTCAAAACATGTTGAAATTCACTACCAATAGTTTGAGGTTTTAGTAAGAGAGAGTGTAAACCAGGATATACTTGGTGTGGTACCATTTTCAAGTCAGGGGTGTATAAGTTTCCAATTTTGCCCATTTGTCTCCAAGGTCTAAGGCATAATTGGAAATGGTCCCTATTTAGTGGTTTAGCAAACCCCCACTCATTGTACCTCAAGTCTAACCCTAACAGTTGGGATAGGCTACTATAATAATTTGACAATACAATAGTGTTAGCCTTCGCAAGATAAACTCCCCAAATGATCAAATGGCTAAGAACATTCTAAACTAACATAAGTCTCATAGATGTCTAGTTTAAGGGGTAAATACAGAAACATACCAAAACATACATGAAATAATAATGTTTTGATTTTATTCATTAATAAATGTTAGAATACATCAGTTTGATTGGAGTTGAGGGCATACACTATTTTGATCTAACATGGACAGATTTTTGTAGTTCCTATAAGTGGCAGCTATAACTTCTCTTTTTCTCTTGGGTTGCAAGGTTTGGTGAAACCCTAGATTGAGGTGTTGATTTGGTTATAGATCAGTGTTTCTTGGCTAGTAGTGCTTGCTTTTTTTTTTCTTTGTTTTCGTTTTGTCAATAGAGCATTTTGAAGTAACCCCGGAGTTGGTTCAATAGGGTTTGTAGACACTTTTACTCAATGTTGTGACTACCATCAAGCTGGATGTGACCAGTTAGCTTACTTTGTCACAATCTATGTGCATTCGTATTTGCAGTAGAGGGAAATTGATCCCACTTTTGAGAAATGGATATAGGAAAATTACACTATTATTGGTTGGTTAGTGAGCTCTACACAACCCCACATTAGTCAGCACTATTTGTGGATGGATTCAGTCAAAGAAATCTTGGATATTGTTACAAAAACATATTCTTAAAAATTGAATGTTGCCAAAGCCTATAAATTGAAGAATGATGTGAATAATCTAAGATAGGGGAGAAACTTGTGACTGTATACTATTCTGTTATGAAGCCTCTTTAGTAGGAGATTGATGTGATGAAAACAATTGTGTGAGAAAGCACAAAAAATATTGAGATTCATAGGAAGATGGTAGAAAGGAATAGGGTCTTTGAGTTTCTTATTGGACTTAACCTTGAGTATGACATAATTAGACAGAATATATTGGGAAAGGACAAAGTAACACTCTCTAGCACACACCATGGTCAATAGTGAGCAGGGTAGGCGATAAGTATAGTTATAGGGACCACCTCTATATTGAGCATTTTACACATATAGGGGTGAAGTCAAAGGGGGCTGATGAGAAGAAAGTTTTTTGTGAGTATTGTAAGAAGCCCAAGCATACAAAGGATACATGCTGGAAGCCTAGAAATACATCCACATCTCTTGCCAACAAGATTTCTGGAATAACAATAGTAATAAGAAGACTAGGAAGACTGGGAATGCAAATGTGGTTATTGCAACATAGGGTGAGAAAGGTTGTGGGGATGAGAAATCAACTATAGAACACTTGGCAACTATAAAAGCAGAGTTAGAAAGGTACGGAAGATTGATTAATCACTTAGAGACCATAGTTGTTGTTTTATGTGGAGATTCTGTGACTTGATGTATCTTAGTAGTATAGTCCCTGTTGTATATTACTTATATATTTTATTCTTTTTCTCCTTCAGCCCTATATGGGCATTCTTGCAATTGTACATATCTTTTAATATATAAGAGACTCTTTGAGGTGGGGGTCATTCATTCTTGACACCTCTAAGATTATTTTTGTTCTTTTCTCTATTCAGCCAAGGGTGCTGACACTTTGAACCCTTCAAGCAATACCTCCTCATTTTTTTTTTGATCAGCAACACAGAAATGATTCATTAAATTTAAAAATCGTGTATAACAAGAAGTCCAAAAGAAAATCCCACTAATTACAACACAACCCCAAGCATAGCCCAAAGGAAAATTCCACTAATTACAACACAACCCCAAACAGAGCCCAAAGAAAAATCCCACTAACTACAACACAACCCAAAACATAGATTGTCTTTGAACTCCTTGCTTAGCTGGATCATCAACCATGCTGTTAGCTGATCTCCTAATCCATCTTATTTGAATCACCATGTTTTCAGAAATCTGCTTGAATCACTTGAGCTCATTCCATAGCTTCCATATTACTCCTTCCCCTTTCTTCAGCCAATTTACAACAATTTTTGAGTCCCCTTCAATAACCAGCCTGTTAATCCCCAATTCTTTATCTTTTTCAACACCATATACTGCTGCCATCAATTCTGAGCTCACCAAATGACCATGTTGAATATAACCTGAGAAATGGATAACATATTTCCATTCTCATCCCTTATTACCCTACAAATATCCGATGGGCCAGGATTTCCCAAATAGCTGCCATCAAAATTTAGTTTCTTGCACCCAACATCCGGAGGAGATCAGAATTCATTTACAATAGATCTTCTAGATGCAGTGTTTGCAATTGTTTCTCATGATCTGAAGAAATCTTTTGTCTTAAAATCAGCAATTAGCTTTAATGTTTTTACCCAATGTGCCACCCTTAAAGTTATCACTTCAACCGCAGATTCTTTGCTTCGTTCCTTATCATCAAATATCTTCATATTTCTTTCTTCCCAAATTGTCCAAGTCACTGTTGCCCTAGAGCATCTTCCCATAACTCTGCGTCTTCAAAATCAACTGAAAGTGTGAGAACTAAAAAAGCCTTCCAGATTAACAGGAGTCCAATTGCATCCAAACAGAAAGGAAAACCACTCCCAAATATAGTTAGCAAAAGGACAAGAGATTAAAAGATGAAAGGCAGTCTCACCGTGCAACTTACATAAGCAGCAACAATTTGGGGATAAACACCAATTTGGTCTTTTTCTCTAAAGCAGATCATAGGTATTAATGGAGCCATGGAATACTTCCCAATAGAAAGCATTGACTTTAGGAGGGATGGGCTGAAACCAAATCTCCTTGATGGGGAAAGAAGGAGAGGAGGAGGTGGCAACAAAAGAATTCAAAAAGGATTTGCAAGAAAAGGACCCTGACTGATTGAGTACCCAAACTCTAGAGTCTGAACCACTATCCCCCAAGACCACTGAATTCAGCAAATTAACCAAAGCAGAGACACTAGAAATTTCAGATTATCTCAGATTTCTAGTAAGACCCAGATTCCAGCTCAAGTTTGACTGTGAAGAGGAAGGATTGATAAAATCACTAATAGATTTTCCCTTGAGTCTAGAAAGAGCAAAAAGTGAAGGAAAAACCTCAAAAAGCGGGGAATCCCCGACCCCAATGTCCTTCTCATTTTCCTTTGCTCACTTGGGTATTTGTGCATTTGCAAATCATGCCACTATTTCAAGTAGTCATAGAATCCCTTGGATTATAGATTCCAATGCTTTTAATGACCAACATGTCTAACCTTTTTAGATCATACCAACTTCTTTCTAGCTGTGAAAAGATATCCCTTGCTAATGGCTCCCTTGCTCCTATCTCATGTAAAGGAGACATTAGAACCTTAGGCTCCTTTGTTTTATCCTTTGTTCTTCATGTTTCTAGACTTAACACTAATCTTTTATCTATTAGTAGCTGAACAAAGTTGATAAATTGTAGTATAACCTTCTTTTCTAACCATTGTGCTTTTTAGGACTTGAAGTCTCAAA